CTGTTTTATGACCCATCTCTTGTCAGGGTATTAACACACTTCTGCCCAGCCAAAAGCCAACATATAAGAACTAGTATGGCAATGTCACACAATGTGAATGAAGTGATCTGGCCTATGATGGAGGGAGGCTGACACTAAGTAGCAATGGTAATGGCAATGGCATAACCATACAAAGTACTGTACTTCAAGTTTTTAGTTCCAAGTGGAGCAGACCCCACCAGTCAACAAGACTTAACACAGAGATTGACTTGGTCCCATGCATTTAGCGGTTCTGCCCCAGTGGGACCTAACAATAGGATATAGCTCATAATGTTGTCTACATCTTTCTAAGCCTTGTGTCCCTCTGATATTCTTTGCTCGTCTAGTCTCTCCCCCACCTCTGCTTGCTCCCCAAAGCTTCTGCTGAACCAGCTTGATGCATCCAATCCAGTCCATCCCCCCCCGCCCCCCTGGCCACAGCAGGTTTCTATTTAGCATCTACTAGATTTGCTGAAATATATACCAGGCCCTTTGAGATTTGAATTGGCAGGCATGCCTGGAAACCCACAGAGCCATCTGTAAAATACTGGCCCAGCAGATGGCTGAACAGACCAGCAAGCAAACTGGGATATGCTATTTTGAAGCAGAGAGGGGGAAATCACTGGCCAATTTCCTTTCCTCCACCCTTTCAGATTGTTGAATAAATCCTGTCTCCATGGCAGGCAAGAAAGACGTTTGCTTTCTCTCCATCTCTTTCACTCCCTAGCAATTCTACTGATTAACATAAGCAGGGATCCAACCTGGAGATGGTGATAGTAAAATGTCTCCCTATTGTTTTGGGACTGGGATTTCAACACTGATGAGGGATGAAAGAAATTAGACCAATGACAGCTTTTGAAATTCTCTTTGCTGACTGTGCTATCCTTCTTTTTCCTCAGTTGGTGGCAGTTGTTTGTTGCTGTTGATCTGTTCAGCTGGTTGCTAATATTGTGCAGTAAAGAAAGCAGTATACGCAAGTCTGTAATTTCAAGCAACTGTATGTAAAAAAGACATTATTTTTATTTTTCCTCCTACAAATGTCTCAGAGTGAGTTACTGAGGCTTTAAGTACCAGTTAATGAGAAAAGGGGTGGTATCTGGGGAATTTAAAGCTATTCTCCTTTGTGTTCTGTACGTCTACTGTGTAGCAAAAAACAAGAGTATTATTAGAAATTCAAGAAGATGCATGTACAAGTTTTACTCCCAGACTTAATTCAAGAGATATATGTCTCTGATTTCCTATGTTTGCAGGTGACTGATTCATCAATGCTTCTGATAATCATCAAACCATTTCTACTGTTCTGCAAGCCCGGCTGTGCATGGTGCTGACTGACTGATCCTTGCATTATTTACAAAGCCAGCCCCAGGTACCCAGAAATATTTAAAGCAGGGTTTTTTTTTTAACATAAAAAGGAAGGAAGGATTGAAAGGAGGATGAGAAGGGGAAAGGAAATGTATGGAAGGCTTAAAAGAAAAAAGAAAGGAAAGGAAAGGAAAGCTCTTGAACCTGTATTGGGACATAAAACCAAACAATGAATGCAAAAAACTCCCAAAATAACGTAAACATTCCATCTCAGTAATGAGCGTAGGGAGAAATCTGCATTCTAATGGATTTGGACAGATTTTTCTGTCCTTGCAAAGCAAAGCAGAGTAGTTGAGGTAAAGGGAAATGTAAAGTGGCCTGGGTTCTTCTTGTAGAACTTGGGCAGAACATTAGCCTAAATCACTGAGACCAGATTTTGAGTGGAAGGTTACATATATGCTTGCTAATTTATTTGTAATTTACCATATATACTCGAGTATAAGCCTAGTTTTTAGCACAATTTTTTTTGCTGAAAAAGCACCCCCTCGGCTTATACCTTAGTCAATGTCAAAATTACATTTTCTCCTCTGCAGTGCGGGTGTTCTATGAACTCTCCCGCTCATCTATGGGCGCCTGCAACCTCTTCGGGTGGTCCGATGACCCAGGTTAAGTACACTGCATTTTTCAGACTCCGCAGGCAGACACCGTGCTGAGAGGATAATAGCAGTCTATGTCCAAATGAAGGAGCTGAAGATGAAAACTTTTTCCTGGCAGCGTGTCAGTACGTATTTCAAAGACCACTCTGAACAGTGGTCACAGTGAGAACATATTTGTTTACAAGCCCAGGGAAGCCCATTCACCCCCCTTCTTTCCTGTCTCTTACCAGTAGCTGGGAATTTTCCACCCTCGGCTTATACTCGAGTCAATAAGTTTTCCCAGTTTTTTGTGGTAAAATTGGGTTCCTCGGCTTATATTCTGGTCAGCTTATACTCAAGTATATATGGTATTTTGATTTCATTTTGTTACTGAAAATAAAGTGTTAAATATGGTGACCGGCAACACACAAAGGTAGAACAATTATTATAATCCCATATTACTGAAATATGTCCATCAAAATGTGAAAAAGAGGCAATGTCACCTCCTATTTCATAAATACACCTTCAAAAATATTGGTGAGGTGTCCAGAAAAATTATATGAATTTTTATTATGAAATACTTAAACATTCTAAGCCCTGTAAAAATTATTAATATTGTTCCTGTTATTATTTTGTATGACCCATGGCTCATTGGGGATTTGAACTGGATCTCTAGTGTTGGACTAGGAATCTCTAGTGTTGGACTCGGAATCAAGCGTTGGACTAGGAATCAAGAGATCTAGTTCAAATCCCCAATGAGCCATGGGTCACCTTGGGCCAATCTTTCTTAGGCTGACTCACCTACGTCACAGGGTTGTTGTGAGGATAAAATTGGGAGAAGAGAGAAGTATGACACATTGAGTTTACCGGAGGAAAGGCAGGATATAAAGTGGACTTCTTCTTCTTCATCATCATCATCATAGAACTACTGAGCTGTTCTAATCCATAAAAGCTCACATTAAAATACGGCAGTTATTCTTTAAAGTGCCATAACGTTTTGATCTAAATTTTTTTGGTCTGATATGCTTGCACAGACTTAACACGGTATTGCTTTGAAAACTAATAAATATGATGCTCATCTTCAGCCACCTTTGAGATAAGCATTAGTTTGGTATGTGAAGTTACAAAGGCTATGTTTGTTTAAAATAGGGTGGTATTTTTGAGAAAATTATTTAGCTTGATCTTTGATTTTTAATTTGTAGAGCTCTAACTTTCTTGGATGTACTCCTGTTGAACTTTTAAGACCCACTTTATGATAACATGCTAAAGCAGCTACCAACATTTATTCAGATCCTCCTGGCACCAAGGCAAAGTTGCTGCCCCAACATTCTTTATTTCCAGTGCCTCGCTTTGGCAGCTGCTTGTGCCTGAGACAAACCTCAGAACCAATTTTCACTCCATCTCCAAACGGCAGGTCTATGATCCATGCTATAGGTAAGATATTCTTTCCTGTATTAGTAATGAGAATAGATTTTGAATTGGGGTCGACAATTTCCAATAGTTGTGGGCCATGCTATACTCCAGAATTCATCAGGGGCTGCATCCTTCCTCTACAACAGTGGTCCCCAACCTTGGGCCTCCACATGTTCTTGGACTTCAGCTCCCAGAAATCCTGGCCAGCAGAGGTGGTGGTGAAGGCTTCTGGGAGTTGTAGTCCAAGAACATCTGGAGACCCAAGGTTGGGGACCGCTGCTCTACAACACCAGTCATGTGCCAACAGATTCTGCTGGCACAGCAAAATACTAGGGCGTAGAAAAATTACTTTTTTGCATTATATTTCCAAGCACCTCCCAGTAGCATTGCATTCATTCAAAGAAGTGGTTCCAAACCATGGGTCTCCATATGTTCTTAGACTAAAACTTCCAGAAATTTTTGCTAATAGCTGGGCTGGAGAAGATTTCTGAGAGCTGTAGTCCAGAGATTCTGCTGGCACAGCAAAATACTAGGGCGTAGAAAAATTACTTTTTTGCATTATATTTCCAAGCACCTCCCAGTAGCATTGCATTCATTCAAAGAAGTGGTTCCAAACCATGGGTCTCCATATGTTCTTAGACTAAAACTTCCAGAAATTTTTGCTAATAGCTGGGCTGGTGAAGATTTCTAAGAGCTGTAGTCCAGGAACAACTGGAGATCCAAGATTGGGAACCACTTATTTATTTTAAAATAGATGTGTGGGAACAACTGGGGACCCAAGATTGGGAACCACTTATTCAAGGCAGCTAGAAATATGCAGGTAAGGAGTTCCGAGGAGTGCATTTTTTATTTAAGGCAAAATACATAGCCACTATGCACCTAGTTTTAAAATAGATGTGTGGGGAATTTGCTATCGTAGCTGTGGCTCCAGAACTCACAGACACAGTAGCAGGGAGGACTACAAGGGCTGGAAGTGGGTTGACTGTTTTTAAAGGAGAGCATCTTTTATTTTTAATTGTAACTACTAAGCAATATTTGTTTTTTAATTTGAATAATAAATTTAAATTGATTTGTGCTTACTTTTTAATTGCAGTTTTATATTTTACCTTTTATTTTGATGTTATTAGCCACTGTGAGCCACTATTGGGAATAAAGAGATGTGATATAAACTATGTACTGTATATACACTTGCAATAAAAACATAGCTCTTTTTCCATTATCTTTCACTGTCCTCAAAATTTTGAGATGCTGTTGTATCTCCTTTACAGAAAATTGCATGCAAGAAAGCATGTTAGAGAAAATTGATAGAAAGTATGTATCTTGCATTTTAAAAATACAAACATTAGAAGAAACACACTTTAAAATATGTAAAAAAAATGCTGCTGCATTACTCCAAAATTTGCAAACAAATATGGAAATGAGATGGAACAAACTCATACTTTAAGAAAGTTCAGAAACAGTAGAAAATGAGACATATATATTGACCTTGGCATTCCTGGAATTCCTCAACATGTTTCTTCCTCCCAAGTAAGGTAGGTCAGGCAGAGAAATAGTGGTTCTCTAAATGACTAGTTCATAACTCTTGCATTTTCCACCAAGAACAATTGGAAAAGAAGATTCACCATTTCTTACCTTGTTGATTTTGTTGGTTTTGGGAAGTGTCTGGCTGACATGCAGATCTGAATATCTGGGGGGCTTCCGTAAGGGATTGTTAATATCACATGGCACAGATTCTGTCCGGACTAACCTTGCTGGATCAAAAGAAGAAAAGAAAGGAGGAAAAGGATGGGAACAAAGAAATGATCAATGTTTTAACTCCTTACTTAAACCAGAAATCAAAAGGACACATTCTTTTGAAGGCTTATTAGCTCAAACCTAAATTAGTCACTCAACATCTCCTTCTGTCTACCTGCGTAAATGAACTAGTGAAGCTCCCTTAAGATGTTGCCACACTCTTAGTCGATCACACCTGATGTTAAGTAGAAGCTCTATCTAATGCAAGAACCATGTGGCCTGGTTGTCAGCTTTCTAGGGTGTGTGGGAGTTGTAGTCCAACTTTGGATGGAAAACTGGATATTCCCCATCTCTGCTCTGACTAGCTGTCAGTAACTATAATTTGAGGCCATATTTTCAGAGCTTGGAAAAGTTAGGTTTATTATGTTTTGTTATAGCAACTCCTAGAATTCTTCAGCCAGCACGGGGACTGACCATGGTGGCTGGGGTGGGGGTAATAGTGATCCAGGAGATGTGGTTAAAAATGAACTTTTCCAAACACTGTAGATTCTTTCCCAGTCATGTAAGCATGTTCAGTTACTGTAGGTTTTTCTGGTTGTTTTAGTCTGCAGTTTCTCTCATGTTCTTTGATTCTGGTGTGGATGCTTCGTTTTGTGGTTCCAATGTATACCTGGCCACAACTGCAAGATATCTGGTATACTCCTGCAGTGATGAGGGGGTCCCTTCTGTCCTTTGCTGACCGTAACATTTGTTGTATTTTTGTGGTGGGCTTGAATACTGTTTGTAGGTTGTGTTTTTTCAAAAGTTTCCCCATGCGGTCC